CATACATGTGCCGTTTGCTATTCTTAACACCCAAACCATTCTCATTGGACCCAAGAATAAAAGTACAATACACCACAAGTACATATACACCACTGTATCACATTATCACCCCTAACCCTTTTTTACCAAAAACAAAAGGGGGAGGTTTTAGCATTGCATTTCATAAAAAATCATCCATATCATATTTAAAGTAACCTTACTATACTTGCACTAGTATTTTGGCTCTATCAACATTTACAATTTATCATAAACAACATCTCAGAGCCTAAAATACCTTACCGATATCTTAAGCAACTATATAATGCAAGTGTAAAATAGAAATGCATCCTAATTGGCAATATTTAAACTATTACACAAAATAAATGAATTAAAAAGACATTACAATAGGAATGCTCAGATTCCCAAGCCTCTGGAGCCTTTTCCTTTTTTATACCAGAGTTAGAGCTTGTAAAATATTAAAAGAGCGGAGTGAGTTTAGCCACTCAGTAACTAAGGTATATCTACCTTATGTAGTTGTATATCAATTGAATAAACACATAAATGGAGTTGATTTTTTTCCAAATATACACAATATCACATGTAACACTAGTTGTCATTTCTCAATTTAACACATTTTTATAATTTTCATCTCAATCACATGGTACATTGCCACAAGACCTATAGACATGTGACAATGACCCAATTATTATCATAACTTACCACAAACTTAAACAATCTTATGACACATCAAATGATTATATATGCATGATGGAACATCCTTATATCATCCTTATTTCCTCCTACTAAAATCGTGGGCTATAATATCAAACATAGTTCTGTCTGTGTGACTGCACTGCCCAAGCTCACCAATTGTGAGGTGTGATCTGGCTAAAGATCATAAGACTCATTCTCAAACCATATTTTCCCCCACTTTTGAATCTTTGGGGTGTCATATACCCTAAGCAAACCTTCTCTAGTAGAGATAACTAGGTTCTAGTCCCTTGACAAACTATAGGACAAGCCTATACTCTCATGTATCAGTGGGCAGCCAAAAATACCATATGAATTTTAAGTACTCCTCTCTCTAGACAAACTCTCGCCAACTGATCATGCAGTGTACGATACTCATTAAATTCACCATTTCATTATTTTAATATCAACACGTTAGGCTTATGATAATATGCTATCCAAGTAAGCATCAATCATTATTTTCACAACATTCTTTCTTTTCAAATTCTAATTCATCAATTTCTTTTCTTCCACACATAATCATCACATCACATTTTTCATTCCAAAATATACATATAATTATAGTTTTGAAAATCACTTTGAATTCAACTACTCAATTTAAGTCATAATCATGCATATTTATAATTTATTCAATCAACAAAGTCTAGAGCATGTTTTCATGTTCAAAAATACCATCATACATGCAATTAACACATTTTCATGATAAAACTCAATTAATAAGCAACTTCCTAAAATAGAGTTTCCCTGGTTACCTCAACTTTTTGAGATGTCAATGATTTATTCCTCAATAATTAGTTTTCAAGCTTGATTTTCTAAGCCAAAATGATGCTTGGATAACCTTTAAAACCATCAATACTAGGTTTAAATACTCTAAAAAACTCTCATTAATTTCATTTGAGTTAATGGGTTTAAAACCATAACCAATATGGACTGAAAATCATCATCCTACCTCAAACTCTAACTCTAATCCCTATTAAAATGAAAGAGAGGGAGGAAAGGAGTACATGATACTTATCTTATGTGTTTTCTAGCACCAAAATACCCCCAACCACTAATGTTTATCCTTCTTTCAATGCCTCAGGTAGCCCGACTTCAATTCTAACCCATAGTTAGGGCTAAAATCATAACTAGATATACTTATTAGACTTTTTTGGCTACACACCACATCAAATCACTCAATCACCATAATTAAACTTGATTAATTATTTAGTAACTCAAGGATTATAATTTGGGATGTCACATAGAATCTAACTGTCATTGTGTGTGGGCCCCACGGACATGTCACATCAGCATATAGCAGCAGAGTTAATGGTTCATTAATGGAGGGATTTTTTGCTCCTTGAAAAAATATTTTAGAGGTAAAATCACCTCACTTAAGAGTATAGGGTGTCCAATGCTCCTAGAAAATAAGTACAAGGGAAAACTTAGGCCTTAACCCTAGAAATTATATTCCAATCTATTCATTTACAACAACAAAAAAATCTCTTACTTTTTTTTTAAAAAAAGAATGTTTAAACAAATCATTTAAGCATCATCATTAGTGTGCTTGCGATAACCTATTGTCACACACAGCATGCCAATCAGTTAGTTACTTGCAAAGACTCAAAATCTCACATGGTATGATTAGGAAAATACACAAACAAAAGTCTCCAATTAAGTATTGATGTAGTGTGTTAAAGAGGTGTACAATAATATAAATAATTCTAAAAAGAAAGCAAGGGATCAAACATTTAGAGCTTTACCACTTGTAGCAACTTAGATGATTATTCCAATCATCTCTACCTCATAAGCAAAAGAAATAACCAACCAACACATGTGCTTGAGTGTATGTGTTCATATGTGCTTAAAAACAAGCAAACTGCATGTGCGCTTCTATATCTTTCTTCCTTTGAATATGTGTGTGTATAAATCAGATGCCAAAGAAAATAAATTAAGAACAAAAGGCTTCACCATCAAACACATCTAAAATAAAATAGGGTGGCAAAAAGAAACAAAACACATCAAAAGTAAATGAAATAAAATGAATAAATTCCCTTCAGCCGCTAATGTTGAGGTTCACATATGAACCACAATTATAAGAGCATTGTCTTCCTTAGGGTATCTCAAAATGATAGCGGACAAGTTGTGAAAAAAAAAATGAAGCAAAATTATATGTATGGATAACATTTATATAAATTCAAAAAATAATAGAATTTGTGATTCATAAGAATATGTCCAAATTCAAGGAAAAAAATGAAGCTTTATTCTCTATAAGGCACTTCTACCCTTTCCTAATCTCACATTATCATTCAAAGAGATGAGAGAAAATGGTTATCTACCTTTATCAAGCAAAGTTTTTACTTTATCTTTTCAAATTCGCTTTATTTTTTTTTTTATCCACCACCTTTCTCTCCCTTTTATAGGTGAAAATTAGGACTTTTATCTTTAATGGTTGAATCCTATGAGATAATAATTTATGATTAATTTTATTTAACTTTTACTATTTCAAATCAAGGCACAAATTTTGAGATTAGATTTTCATTTGAATTTCTCCAACTAAAGACTCATATCATGGCACAAATTTAGAAATTGTGAATTTTCAATTGATCCCCCCCACTGAGGACTCAAATCAAGGGATGATTGCGGGGATTTTTTTTCATTTATTTTTCATTTATTAATTTTTATTTTGTTTTTAGTATTTTATTAAAAAAAGGCTTTTCAATTTCTTTGTTTATTTTTTTGTGGGGGTCCAAACAAAATAGGGTTTTCACATGTATAATTCTATAATTTTTAATTGTATGTATTGTTTTTTCAAATTATTTTAAAAATTTGGGTAAACAAGACAACATTATTAATTAAATTGAAATTTTGTAAATGTTATTGTTTATATTATTTCCAACATTTTATTTTAAATTAATCCCTTACAACGCACAGGATCCAAGCTAATTTAATATAAATACTGAAAAAATTGAAAATTTGAATATTGAAAATGTAACTGATTATTGAAGATATGGAATATAAGCATTGAAAAAGTTAACTCAAATTTTTAATTCGAACCAAAGACTACTACCCTTAATTGAAATTTCAAAATTTGAGGTTCTTAAATGTAATTAATATTTTTAGGGGGTCTTTGAATGATACTTTTCCATGTTTAGCAACTTGATGGTCTTTATTTAGCATTAATGTTGTCTCACTATTCTGAATTGTCATCTCCCGAATTTGGGTTGGGTTAGCAAAGCTATAGTTAACTTAATTGTGTTCATTTTTCCTTCCATCCCACATGGGCCCTCTTCCCACAGCTGCAGTTAACAACGTCCTTCAATGAGATTTGGGTTCTCTCCAATTTTTTTTCCCTTTATTTCCCCCATCCCAAACATTCAAATTATTTTATTAAACTATTCACCTAAAAAAAAAAACAAAACACAATGGCCCTTCAATGTATTATTATTTTATCTAGAGTTAGAAATATGAATCAAGCTGGAATATTTGAATTAAAAAAAAGGTTCAATTTGGTTCAATTTATTTTTAAATGGATCAATTTAATTTAACTCTCGTAAGTTGGTGGGTTAAATGAGTCAATCTATTAGACTATTTATTTAATTTTTTCATGATTTTTTTTAATTACACCTCAATGAGAAGTTTTAATATGATATTCCAATTATTTAAAAAGATCACATTATAAACGTCCGAGACTGATTAATTTCATCTTAATTCATTCTAAAATGTACTTGTCTTGTGAGATTTTGGTACCAAAACTTCTTCATTTTTTTTTTAATTTTTTTATTTTTTATAAATAATATGGGTTAAAATAGCTAATTTTAACCTATGAGATCAACCCACTTGGTTTATGAGTAATCTAATCCAAGCCAAAAAAATTTATTTTTACATGGTCAATGTTTTTTTTAATCTGACCCATCCTTATAACATGTTTTTTAGGTTAACTCAAGTCACAATCCATGCTCTCGACTCTAAATTTATATCACCGTGACTTATAACTTGACAATCCGTGCAAGTAAACGTGTTCATATTTAACGGTTGACAGTCTGAAGAAAAAAATAAAATAAAATTTATGTTCCCACCTGCCTCGTCTTAAATTGACCAGCCGCATGCGTTTGATGTTACTTGCTCAAGCTTAACAACCAACCCTTGTTGACCAGAAAAAAAAAAAAAGAGAGAGAAGAAAATCTAACCCTTGGTTTTCGTGTGTCACGTGTGTTTTCCTTCCGCGTGTGTTCCCATGCTTATTGGAAATTATGAATCCCCTTCCCAACTCTTTCCCTTTCATTTTCATCTGTGTATTTTATTTGTCAACATCCTCGGATCTATATAACCCCACAGGCCACAAACATATGCAGAGTCAAAGTCAGAGAGGAGATTCGCGGGCGATGATCAAGCGCCATGTCTGAGGTTGTCAACGATGCTTGGGGAAAATACATGAAGCAGCTTCAGCTCCATCCTCTCAGAACCAAGGTTTGTTCTTTATTTTTCTTTCGATGATTGATTTTATTTCTTGCTTTTGGGAGTCTTATGGGTATTTCGTAATTCTTGATAGGCAATTACTGCAGCAGTTCTGGCAGGCTTTAGTGATGCTGTGGCACAGAAGATTTCTGGCGCTAAAAAGCTCCAGTTGAAAAGGATTCTTCTTTTTATGGTACTACCTCCATGGTTTTGTTTTTCAAATCCAATTCACATTCTTCAGGATTTGGGTCTTGGATCACTCGTCCTCAAAGCTCATTTATTCGTTGTTGCTTTTCCGTTTTGGTCCATGATTCTGAAACCAGTTAACAAAGGCATATACGAAAACACTTCTCAAAAACTCTCTTTTGATTTAGGAAACGTAGTATGGAAACCCGGTCAACTTGCTCGATTCAACCAATAAACGGTGTGTTAACGAGCTTAGTAAAGTGTTTTGTTTATCATTGTTCGATTGCAGTTTTGACCATCAATAACCAGTATGGTTTCCAGTAACTTACCAGAAAATCAAAAAGTCTGTGTCTATAATTTCAAGTGCAGCATAGTGTCTGGTTGTGTAATCTGTAATGTCTGGCATGTTGTACACTGTGCAATGATCAATATTTTTATCGCTGAAATTTTGAGGACCTTTTCAAATCTGAAGTAAAACTTGTTTTTGCAGCTATATGGCTTCGCTTACTCGGGACCCTTTGGACATTTTCTACACAAATTAATGGATAAGCTGTTTAGAGGGAAGAAAGGCAACGAAACTGTTGCAAAGAAGGTATATTGCTATCTTGCCTGTTCCTTTAACCTCTCTTCAATTAACTAACCTTTTAATGAATGAAATTTCATATTGTTAGGTGATTCTCGAACAATTAATTAGCTCTCCATGGAACAACTTTCTCTTTATGATGTACTATGGCTTGATTATAGAAGGTATCTTTCTTTTCTTTCCTTATTGTATTGCTATCCTGTGTTTTCTAAACATATGCATGAATACAGATCGATGCCATATTTTGTGATGTTTGTAAATGTGTGGTCTGTCATCTTACAAAAGAATTTGAAGATTAGTTGTTTGTTGCATAATTTTTAACTTTGATCCTCGAATGTCAATGATAATATATATATATATATATATGTATATAACCTCACAGCGTCTTCTGGGTTAGTTTATGGGTGGTAGTGAACAAATGATCTGTCTAAGGAAAAACTAAACGTCAACAAAAGCTTGAAATGGGCACTTAAAGGTTGTTTTCCTGCAACTGGATGATTCAATAATTTTTTGTCATGTCTAGTCTAGGAATTTGTGTAGAAATCAGAAAGGAATTGAGAAATCTGATATGTGGAACTTGGAAACATTTGAAAAGAGGAATGACTTTTCTGCATGTTATAATGTGCTGCAAAACTAAGGCATAATTTTTCAGGGAGGCCTTGGGGTTTAGTCAAGAATAAAGTTAAAAAGGACTATCCTTCTGTTCAGCTGACTGCATGGAAGGTAAGGCACTGAGAACAATCTTGTGGTCTGTGGCTGATGCAGCAATGTGAAAAAATGTTGCATGCTGAAGTTTCTGCTGTTTTAACTTGCAGTTTTGGCCTATTGTTGGTTGGGTAAATTACCAATATATGCCGCTGCAGTTTCGCGTTATATTTCACAGCTTTGTTGCTTCATGCTGGTGAGCTCCAATATCCTTCAACCTTTTTGCTTTTGTATTTTAAATAGGGAAAACACAACTATTACCTTGAAATTATGCATATTACTTTGGGTGGCAAGTTTGACATGGAATTTTGTTTTTTGTTTTCTACTGTTTTTTGACAATAACGTATCTGATATATAATGCCTATGGCGGATAAACATGGTAAATCCTAATCAAGAACTATATGTTGTTTCAATATAGTTTATCTTCTATGGAGATCAAATCGAATATGATAAGTCCCATAAATGTTAATTTTGTTCAACTCATCCAAGAATCTACAGATTCATGTACCTTCAGAAACTTAGCTGCAATTAGCGTAAATTTATAGGGAAGTCGTTTAGACAAATACATTGCAATGTTGTACTCAAACCTTGACGGGAAGTGCTGGTGACGTAGAACCTCTGGAGAAAAAATGAATGAGGAAAGAAAGAAGGGGGGGTTCAAAAGGGAGGCAAAAGAAGTATTGATATTTTGTTCAATCACAAGGTGCAAAAGAAGTTTGTAGCCAAAGGTTTTTCTTAAACAAACCATAAAACATTTAAGGAAAAAAAAACATGCTGAAAATGATAAAGGAAAAAAAATGAGAGAGAGAGAGAGAGAGAGAGAATGCCTAACTGTTTGTCGTAATTGATGGCTTAATAGCTTACAAATACATAGTGAAACCAACATATGCAAAGTGGCAGCATTTTGTTTCATACAATTTTCATTGGATATTGTCAAGAAATATTTTTAACTAGACTTTACCCCTGCAGCTTAGAAACTGGATACAAAATGAAAAGAATTAAGTGATGCACATATTCTCATGACAACAGTTAAACTACAATATTTATTATTTTCAATTTGTACTGAATTGATGATACAAAGGGGCATCAATAAATATTAATTAGAAAACAGCATGGGATGATAACTAGAATGGAAACCACATTAGACTGTTCCAACTTCCTCATATTGCATGCCATCAGTGATTGCTATATTGGAAGATTTTGAAACTACAGTTACAGCACGACTCTGTATGATCTGTTTGGGTAAGTTTAGCTTGAGAAAGGAAGGGAAGAGAAAATGTACTTTAGTAATTCTCTTTGATGAAGATTTGATTATCACATGTTTTTATAACCTGGAATATGTTTGAATGGGGAGGAATGGATGAGAAGGAAAGAAAGGCAAATGTTTATTTAGATGTAGATTAAAACACTTTCCCCTTCACCAACGAGGGTAAGGTCTAGTAGAGAAGACTAATTCTTTACAATGTGATGAACCAAGGATTGAATCCTTGTTGAGAAAGGTGTTTATATTTAATGTCCGACTGTACTTCAAATAGGATTTCTTCCAATAGGAGAATACCTGCAAATGATAATAATAAAAAACTTTCCCCTTCTGTCTCTATTCTTCTGAATCCTTATGCCCATAATTTTATGTGTTTATGCTGATGCACATGCATGGTAGATTATTTAATCAATAATGGACCTCTGGTTACTTTGTTGCATCAGGGCAATCTTTCTCAATCTAAAAGCGAGGTCTGTTGCAATTAAGAAGGCGTAGGATAGAGCAGATCTGTTTGTTGTCGCGTGTGGCTTGTCTTCTTTTTCCTTCCCATATGCGTTTGGCATAGCCACAATAATAATTGAAAAAAAAAAAGGTACAGGGGAACTTTTTGAGATCAATCTAATATTTGCTTGAGACATTGGACTAGTTTTGTTTCTTGTTCACGGGTTGGTTATTATTGTGAATTAGTTTGTCTGTTTAGTTTGAGATTATAAAATAGTTAGGTGGTGAGTGCTTACTTCATGACACTTGTATTTTGAGTTTTACTTTAAACCAAAATTAGGCTTAAATTCAATTTCATCATTGACAATCTATTTTTGTTTAAATATGACAAATATATGGCTAAATTAAAAATCGTACAATTATTTGGTAAAAGTAACTCTCTTGTAATGTTTCAAATTCAATTAAAAATTTTAATGGTAAAAATATGAAAGATTGTAGTCAACATTTTGTATTGTTAACTGGGATTCAAGTCTTTTGAAAGTTAGAAGCCATTCTCAGCCCAAGAAACAAGTTACTGTTAAATAAATGAGATAAAAGGGGTAAATATAACTTTGGGTGTCTGACTTTACTCACATTTTGCTTGTAGTTCTTATGCTTTTTTTTTTTTTTTCGGTATTCTAGGTCCTTACATTTTTGTTTTGCATTATTTTTAATCTTTCTATGAGCAAAGTATATGAACCTTGTAAGGACTTAGAATAATGGAAAATAAAAGTATAAGACCTAAGATATTGAAAAAAATATAAAGATTAAAAGCAAAACGCGAATAAAGTATAATAATTAAAAGTTATGTTTGCCCAAATAAAAGCCTAATAACTATATTAAGTCCAGATTGATCAATCATCAATGTTTTCAGATGAACCATTTCTATTTTAAAATGCGGAAACAATGTTTTGGATATTATCATTGGATATTTATTAGGATACTAGAATAAAGATATTAGAAAATTTTACTACACCTCTTTTGACCAAACTTATTGGTAGTCAATCCTACCAAAATTCTTCTTGTTTTGGGAATGGAAAATAAAATCATATATTAAATCAACTCAAAATAGTACAAACCAAAAGAAAGGGTTAATATACAATTTAGACTATGAAGTATAAGTTTAGGGATAATTTAAATCCTAAACTTTTATTTAATACATTTTGAAATCTAAACAATTAAAATTAGTGTAAGTTCACCCCACCATTAAACTAAAGCAAGTATCTGTTTTTTTTTTAAATAGGATATAATATGCTATTTTTTAAAAGTTTAAAGTTCAGATAGCCCTTGAATCTATAATCTAAGGTTTAAATTGTATATTAATTTTCAAAAGAAAAGCCAGCTAAGAAACTCTTTCATCATTCACCTCCTCTTGTGTGAGAGGCAGGGATGAACAAAGATATAGAAATTCCCCTGTAGGCCATGAGAGCATCTACTAAGAAATCAGCATAAATATTTACATAATGACCAAAATGGAACAAGTTTAAAGACCAATGGCTTCTTCAATGATGTTCTTGAAGGGATGAGACAGCTCACACCCTCTAGTAATGATATTGACAGCTTCAATGCTATCACACAAAATATCAATCTCCCTAAACCCATGAATCCAACACAAGTCAAGTCCTTGAATAATACCTACAATTTCAGCTATGGCCGGAGGAACTACTGATAGTTTACAGCTAAAACCTCTAAACCACTGTTACCATTCATCAAGACAGAGCCGTCAACATGGAGTTTGACGCAATCCCTCCCCAAGCTCACAAAGACTATTTTGGTTTTTAGAGTAAGCTAACAATGGTGATCTGAAATCAAGTCTCTATCCGAGCAAGCTCTAGAGAAACTAGTTAAGATATTACTATTTTCACCAAGAGTATCATCATCAAACACTTTTTTGAATCTAATGACCCAAATATCCCGGCACACATATCCAAAAAGATTCTCCTATTCTACTTTCTTTGTAAAATCCTGACCATGAGATAGGATCCATTTGACCCATTTCACTCCTTGGAGACTATTGAATCTGTTCGCAAATTCTGCTTTGACAATGTCACTCCAGCGGTCACGGCATTTGGGCAATCCCGAAGTAAATGCATTGAATCTTCTAGTACTTCGCAACCGAAAGGGCGACATTTTGTGACCTCCAAGACATGCTTCAGTCCTAGCTCATTAGTATGTAGCCTATCATGAGAGAACAACTAGACAAAGGACTTGATCTTCTCAACAATGGGCCATTTCCACAAAATCTTCAGATGTTCTTTGAGGATCTTTTTGTACCTACAGACAGAAAATTATATGCATATGTAATAGAAAAATAACCGTCAGATGGTTTTCAAAGGTGTTTATCCTTTCCCCTTTCCTCTTTAGGTGGGTGAGCACACATAATGCGAGCAACCATATCAGGACGAAACTATCTGCTCAGTTTCTGGAAATCTCAAAGGCCACATTGATCGACATAATCTAACACCTTTTCATGTTTATTAACATAAATCTACCTGCGAGGAATCAAGTCAATAAGTGGGACATTATATTCATGCCAATTCTCAAACCAAAAGGAAATAGATTCACCATTACCAATCTTCTTCCCAAGACCCTCCTTAAATTTGTGCCAAACATCACAGATGCTACGGCAAACAAGTGAAGACTTTTGCCTCTTCTTGACCGTAGACAAACCTACCAAACCTCAGTTATACTTGGAAAACAGCATTTTGGCCCAAATAGCCTCTTTTTTACATAAAAGATTTCAGCATAGTTTCATGATGAAAGCCTCATTTTGTTTGCGAAAATTCTTAATACCCAAGCCGCCCTCCTTTTTATCTTGTACAATACAATCCCAGGATAAGAGATGCATCTTCTTCCCCTCCTCAGCATCACCCCAGAGAAAACTTCTGCTTCTTTTCTCAATAACCTTTATAAGATGTTTTGAGAGTAACATTATATTGTTTGCATATGGCAAGCAAGGAGAGCTGACAACACAACTTTAATCAACGTGGCATGCCTGGCCAGATTCAAAAGTCTACCTTTCCAATTCAAGAGCTTTCTTCGAGTTTTTGCAGTGCCATGCTCGGTTGAAGAACTTTTTATCAACAGGAAAAGGAAGAATGCAAGGCTCCATGCGATTGAAAATTTATCCCCTATGCAAAGTCGAGTGCAAGGCTTCGTGCAACTAGAAGAAGAAATTAGTAAAAAGATGCAAATAAAGTTACTAGGAAAACTCTGTTGACTGATGGTGACCAGTGGCGAAGCGCATGTAATTGAGGGGGCATATTGCCCCATCACTTGGGAAAAATAACATGTTGATATGAGTATTTGACTTGTATACATTTTTCACTTCTTACACATTAATTATTATACTTCTAAGACATTATTTTTTTGAGTTAAGGTATAATTTTGCCTTTAAACCATTCTCGAAGGAGCAATGTGATGTCCTAAACTAATCAAATCAGATAATGTTGCCCTCGCCATTTAAATGTCCGTTATTGTAGTTAATAGAACTCACTTTTTATGAATTAAAGTGTAATTTTGTCCTTAAACTATTCTCAAAAAAGCAATATTGCCCTCACCTTTTAAAAATCATAAAATTAAATAAAAATAAAATTATAATAATATTAAATGTATATATAAAATAAATATAATAAAAAATATAAACTATAATTTTATAACTTATCAAATATAAGTGAATTTTGATTAAATTAGATATGAGTAGACTTAAAAGTACTTACATTTGTTCAAAAATAAAGTTGGCTTTTAGTAGAATCTAATTTTTTAAAATTTTTAAATTTTTTAATATTATGTTTTAAAGTGCTTGGTTTCTTGAAAGTCGTCCTGATTCTCAATTCAACTTTAATTTTTGACTTAATAGCGGCTTAACTCTTATCTAATCCAGCTCAATCATAAAAATAATTTTTTAATCCAAATCGAGTAGTTAACGATGGTTTTGATCAATATTTATAGGTAAAAATGTAAATACTTTTGAGTCTATTTATATTTAATTTAACCAAGATTCACTTATATTTGATAAGTTATAAAATTATAATTTATATTTTCTTATATTTATTTTTATATATACATTTAATATTATTTTATTTAATATTTTTATAATTTTATTTTTATTTAATTTTATAATTTTTAGATGGTGAGGGTAACATTGCCCTTCTGAAAATAATTTATAGGCAAAATTACACTTTAACTCATGAAAAGTGGGTCCCATTAGCTACAATTAGGGACATTTAAACGGTAAGAATAATATTGCTCCAATTTGATTTGTTTAGGGGCAATATTGTTATAATGAATAGTTTAGGGGCAACATTACTTTTTTGAAAATAGTTCAAGGACAAAATTACACTTTAACTTATTTTTTTTTTTATTTCACAGCTTGACTTCTTCCTGCAACCTAATCGCATATTACCAATTTCAGGTAGTGAAGTGCGATCATGGTTTTATAACTAGCACCACTTTTGTGAGAGAGAATTCAGTGATCCAAATGTGTCATTCATAGCAAACATCCCTAATTATTGTCATATTTTGCAGTTTGCATCATATTCTTCTTATACTTTACACCCTTTATTTTAATATTTTAAACTTTAAACTCATTTTAATTTTACTCCTTAACCTAAATCAAACATTTAATTTTTAACTCAAAGCTCAGTAAATACTAGCCCATAATTTCATTATGTCTAAATATTAATATTATTTATTAGTCCTTTAAAAAAATTTAATTTGATTAAACTAGATCCATGTCATCCTCATCCTAAATACTAATTAGGGACTATTTTTGAAAAAAAAAAGCAATGAATAATGAAGATTCAAGACTCAAGAATAAACTCACTAAATACCTTTCATTGTCTTGCTTGCACTTGCAACTTTGCAAACTGAAGGTTGAATTAAGAGATAAAGAAAAAGAAATGATAAATTTGGAAGAGACTAAAAGGTTTTTTTTTTTTTTGTGTTGAGAATTTTGATTTTGCCACTGTCCTGACTCAGGATCATGGCTCCACCATTAATGGTGACAATTTCAAATCTAGATTATACTTAGCTTATGGTACATTTCAGTTTATATTAGTCACCTTTTCAAAATGCATTATAGATTATGAATCTGATCATCAAAGGATAGTTTATCATATAAAACTATCAATCATTTATCAAAGGATTGCTACAATAATGTTTTCAACACCCAACAGTGAAATATTTTACAATTTATAATAAATGTTGTAAAAATTGGTTTTTATCTTTGCTAAGATTGTCACGTGTAAAGTATTGTTGTATGGTGTATTATGTAACTATCATTAGGCTTGATTTTATCATTTGCTTTTTATATTTTAATTAGAAAGT